GACAACACAGAAGTTCAAACTTCCAGCTTCGGATTAAGGGTTGGTCTCTTTTTATATGACGTCTGTAGTCATCATTTCAAACCTGCACTGTAGCGACGAAGGCTTGCTAAAAGACAAAATTGGGTAAAAAAATCGGAAGTGATTTCTTATACGTGGCTATTGATCTCAAGGGCTTTCTCATATCTAAGCTGTTACATAACAGAATATGTCTGTGAATGTGTTATATTTGGATTTCAGGTATTATCACAGGTGATTTTCCTGTTTAAAGGGGATGTTGACATATAAGGATGAAAGACCTGTAGAAATTTACCAGCTTCCAACTCAACTTCCTGTTCGTCTATGTTTTCAAGCCGTAGGGGAACAAGTGGTACGGCCCCAGCGAAAACACATGTTCCTGGCTCTTGAGGATCAAAAAAAACCCCGTGTGTACATGAAACTGTGTGTGCGTGCTAAATGATTCATGAAAGGCAAACGAAAACAGGCCGGCATTAAAGCGGAAAAATAGCCTGTCTGCATTTTAGATGAAGCCGGGGTCCTCTGACTCGCTGTGTCATGATATCTGGGTCTGTGGTGAAACAGGGCAGACGTGAAAACACTGATTAGAGTACTAGTTTTATTCAAAAATCTGAAATTATACCATAAATTGTAAGGTCATATGGAGCGTGTGTGGATATGAATCAATCACTCTTATTGGTATTTGATCGAATAGGTCTAAAGGTTTAACATGACCCTGTACCTCACAGTGTGGAAGTGGCTTCAGATTAGCGGTCCTATTCTCAGAGCCTCTGTGTTCATAGCAGTGGCAGGGAGCTGCTGTGGCCTTCAGTGCTGCTGTCTGTTCTAAGAATAGGCAGCAGGGTCCAGAGAACATCTCGTCTCTGAGTCTCCCTGCCTCCCTCTCTCCTTTTCCTCTCCCGTCATTTTCCTCCCTCCCTCTCTCCCCCTTCACTCTGTTCCTCTCCCTTGCATTTCTTTGCTTTCTTGACTCCCTCTGCCTCCTTTCCTCCTCTCCTCCCCCCTGTGTGCACTAATGTGGAGGCTGAATCTAACCCTGCTGGATGACATTACTCTGTGCTGCCTGCTGGCCTGTCTGCCTGCCTGGGGACTCTAAAATAAAACACAGCAGTGGGGAGAGCCAGAGTGAGAGCACATACTGTATAGGCAGCCTGACTGACATGCTCTGATAGAGCACACACACTCTGTGTGTGAAAACGGCTCGCAGAGGACAGAATGTGTATCAAAGTGTGTGATGAATGTGTGTATGTGAGCAAAGGGGTGTGTTTGATTGTGAGTGTGTGGTTGTACCGAGAGAGAGGGGAGGGGAGCAGGCCTCTCCAGCTGTGCCCTGTCAATCTTTCATGACCTAACACTCAGGAAAAGAGAGAAGGGCAAGGTGGACAGGAGTGAGAGGGAAGAGACAGCGAGGGAGAGATAGTGTTTCTGAATTTTCCCTTTTGTCTGATGGAAAATAAGTCAAGGAGGGGCAAATGAGCACTGAAAGACATACAAGAGTATTTTTATCTGTGTGTGTGTGTGTGTGTGTGTGTGTGTGTGTGTGTGTGTGTGCTAGTGTGAATAACATGTCGCTGCCGGAACCCCATAGCCTGAATTCAACATCCCTCACCCTGAACAAGTGACAAAAAGATAACCACGTTTCACTTCACCGCTTCACGCCCTCTCTCTCTCTCTCTCTCTCTCTCTCTCTCTCTCCCTCTCTTACTCATTCTCTTTCTCATCCTGCTCTTCACCCTCCTGGCCCCCCTTCCTCACCTCACTCTCCCACCCCCAGCTCTCTCCCTCCGTCTTTCCACATGGCTAGCCATCCTCTCCCATGTCCCAGAGGATGGGAGGCTGTGCGGCAGCTTGGCAGGCTGTCAGGGGAGCGCCGGAGAGCAGGGAACATGTAGTGACTGGAACGGGGGTGGTGGTGGGGCTGTGAAGGTGGGGGGTTGGGGGTTGGGGGGGTATGAAAACCCTTGCTCCTCACCTCACTGTGCCACTGGAAGAACTGGTTTGGCTTAGTGAGGTTAGGCAAAAGATGCAAAGGGCTAAGGGCGCCACAGAGAGGAGGAAAACACAGAGCTCTCACTCTTCTTCTGTTTCTATGCACCGGATACGTCACCAACATAGCAGGAAATAACAATGCAGAAGTCAACATGTCATCCTGTGTCAATCATGCTGTCTAGCTCTGCAGCACCCCCTCAGGAACTAACGTGACACACTTTTATCGACCCATAATTGCCACACCTGGGGGAAATAAGGATCATTTTGAAAATGGCAGAAGCCAGCGGCGAAACACCTTTAAGCTTCTGTGCAATCTAAGCAGTGTTGACCAACATGTAGCACACACTACACAACATTACATTTACTCATTTGGCAGACGCTTTTACCCAAGGCAACATACCATTGAGGGACAACACTAAAGCTTCAGTGCAGTAGGAGACATTGGTGTAAGTCCTAAGAACTATCTACTGAATAAGTGCAAGGAGATGAGGTAAAGAAGCGCACAAGTGCATAGTAAGTTCTAGTTAGGCATGTGTTACAGGTGTTTTATTTAAAAAAGAATTTCACAAAATGGAGGCGACACCTTAAGCTAATATTTTTTTTCCTTTATATGGGCAGTACTGCCAACTCTGCCAAGAGGTTTCACTATCGAGTGCTTCATCTTCCCAATAGACAATCTTTGCTCTGGCTGCTGAATTCACTATTGTGTGCAACTGGAGGAACAGGCTTAGCTAGACCACAGCAAATGTGAAGAGGCGAGACAAACTGCAAGAGGAATACCACGGTATTAATTCTAACCCTGTATTAAAACTGTTAATGTCAGTTTAACATGGAAAAGCTCTTAATAAACAGATACTGGCTGCTGGTAACAGGTTACCAAGAAGCAGAGCTTTTTTAGCAGATAAGAAGGGACAATGCTGTTGAAAATATATACAGTGAAAAACACCATTCCCTAATTAATTCATTCAACAACCAATATGACAGAAAAGCAACATATTTCATTGCTGATGTTAGGCTGAAACACACGGCATTAACGTCAGTGTTAATGCTACATGGAAACTACACTGAAAAGCTCATGGTGAGCACGATACTTTGTCTTTATGTAATTAGAGCATTAACGATACAGATACTTACATATACTTATAATGCTATACACTACCAGGCATGCTATATTTCCAATACATTACATTTTAAAAGAACCAAGGGGCACTGTGACTTGCATTTGTGATAAGTTACTAAAGCTCTTTCTCCCTTTGGTCTCCCTTCAAAAATCCCGCCACATCACACAGCAGACTCGTCCCAAAACAACAACATGACACTTTGCCGACCCGCGCTCCCTCCCTCCTGACAGAGAGAAAGGGGAAAAAAAGATGACAGCAGCTTTAGATCTGACATCAAACGCCGGCGAGAGAGTGAGAAAGAGAGAGGGGGAGAGAAAAAAAAAAAAAAAAAAAAAAAAAAAAAAAACGGTTACATCTCTGCCGTGACAGCTTGCTGGAAGAGCCTGGCAAGCGCTAAGCAATTTCTCTCTCCTTCTCTCTCTCTCTCCTTCTCTCTCTCTCTCTCTCTCTCTCCCCGTCCATCTATCCATCTCCCCCTCTCTCCGTCTCTGTCTCTCTCTCATCAAAACTTGCCGCCGATTAGGATCTCTGAGAGCCATGCGCATTGGATGGGATGTGAAAACACACGGAGAACCCAAGGGGTAAAACGCCAGGATTAAAGTGGTGAGGGAATATGGGGTGATAGTGGTTGTGGTTCAAATAGATCGGCCCCCGCGACTGCAGTGGCTCCTCGCCTCGCCTTGCTCTCTCGCTCCGGATTCACACACTGATACATCAAGGCCATTTCTCATTATAGCACGAGGGGGGGAAAAAAAAGCTTTCATGACGCTGCTTTAGATGGAAAGACAGAGAGGGAAAGGGAACGGGGGGGGGGGGGGTTCAGAGTGTGGGAGAATGAAAATGAAAGAAAAAAGGAGAAATGCCAAGATAAAGCAGATGACATACTATTAGTAGTATGTTATGGGGGGAAAAAAGGCAGAGAAAGAGATAGAAAGAGTGTGTGAGTGTGTGTGTTTGTGCATGAGAAAGTGGAGTAACAGGAATCACTTGGAAAAATGACAGATAAATCAGCCACTGATTTGAAACAAAGCAAAGCCAGCCATCAGTGTGTGTTGAAACAAAGAGGACGACCAGTGCTCACAGACTTTAAAAGTGCAAGTGCATGGAAAATATTATGGCTCAATTTGAGTTCATACACTTAGCTTTTCTTGCAGTTTATACCCCCACCCCCCAACTCCTGAGGCTGTTCCAAAGTATCTGGTAAATTAAACGGCACACACCTCAAGCAGTGCCAATATTTGCGACTTTTGCAAAATGTCTATTTATTCTATTCTTGAAGCTGGAAGGGGAGAAATGATAGAGAGTAAAAAGCGATTAGTTTAGCCAAAAAATTGGAGCGGCCCACATCCCTCTCCCCTCATAGATCAGCCTGGCCTCACAATTTCTTCTCAATTACTCCTCCAGTCAACCTGCTTAACGATTTTTAGCTCGCTCAAATGCCAAGAGGCAGCGCATGTGGGTTTTGCATGGACTGTCTGTGTCCGTGCATATGCTTTGCTGTGCATGTGGGAGTATGTGTGAGTGAGTGCACGGTGCTGAGACCAATGGGCTGATGCGTGTGGCCTTTTTTGCCTTCTGCATGGGCGGCAGTCAAAACACAGACACGAGCTCTGAAATGAGCAGTCAGATCCATGTCGTCCCATGACACGGGAGACAAAGAGGCGGGTTACGCGGTGAGCGGAGCCATTTGATTGGCGGAAAAGCTGGGAATAGGGGAAGTGGAGGGAGACAAAAAGGCAAATGTTTCTACGAGGTTTCAAACTGTGTTTTGGTGTCCGCTGCAACAAAAGACTCTTTTGCCTTGATTCTGAGATCAGGCTTGCCTCAAATGTAATCCTGTATTCAACTGTATGTGTCACGTTCAGCCTCACTCACCGGCAGACTGGAAGGGCGATCCTGGGAGACGCCATCTTCGTTGTTGGCCTTCCCAGAATTCCCTGGAGCAGGACCCCTGGCGCTGTAGTTCTCCTGCTGGGCCTCCTAGAAAGAAAGACACAGAGAGAGAAACACACTGAGTCTATGATCAATAAATAAAAGGGCTATACTTTACAGAGCCCTCCAATTGTAGGTAGAAGAGTAACATAAAAGTTATATATACATACAATACTGAATATATACTGAATTTTATTGAGGCAATGTTTAGACCTAGAAGGACTTTGTCAGGCAAGTTATCTGGGCGTTACAGTATTTTGTATCATGTGATCTCCTAATTGCAGACAGAGCTGTCGTTTTGTCTCTGCATGTAAAGCTTGCTTTTTGTTCACATGAAGAAGACTTTGTGGGTCAGAAATTTGCATCAAAAACCACACAGACACACACAAACACATGAATGTGCACACACACACACACACACACACACACACACACTGATGCAGTACTTGCAGACTGATAATCATCCGAACATGCACCCATCAGCACACCATACCCGCCAATTCATTTCAACCAAATCCCGGCCTAACCACCCACTAATCCTCAAAACATACACACACACACACACACACGCACATATACAAACACACACCAATACACACACTCAGTTCTATTGTTCAATCTAAGTCATTTTCTTTCCCTCTGTAATCACAAGCCTATCTAGTGTAAACCAATTTTCTCCCCATTGTCGGAGGTGTTGCCCTCTCCCTCCTTCTGTATCTCTCCCTCCTTCCCTCTCCCTCTTCTTTTCATTCACCGCGGAGGTCGTTCCTCCATCATGTTAAGCGTCGGCAGCACAATGGCAACTTGTTAAAGAGCTCTGAGTGGAAGGATTAGTGATAACTGATCGGCGAGACGCGGCAAGAGATCACACGCGAGTGCTTGCACACACAACCAGACACAACATACACACAGCCGCACATTTATGTTATATTCACACATACAGGGTGTCCTCAGGTTTTTACTTTTCAAAATCCATTTTTCCCCCCGCACAGTTTGATTTCTTATCAGTTGTGTGATTATACTGTAGTAGGTGGGCAATATTCCTGTCAGGTAGGTGATATAATTTTATAGCTGAAGATTATCCTTCTCAGCCAGAGCTGTATCATGTGAAATGGATCTATTATTAGAGCATTAAATGTGTCATAATTTGTGCATCCGGGCTGAATGATACCAATTCAGTACTTTTGCAGATTCTTTAGGAAATCTAATCTCACGTTAATTTCTTACAAACATACAATAGCTGCAAAGTTACACAGTTTGCATGCAGTTTTAAAAGCTACGCGCACACAGATAACAACTGAATGTATTCATTCATCCATTATTAAGAAATGTAATGTAATGACCTTAAATGCCCTAGAGAAGTCTCTTCAAATTCACATTTCAATTATTAGCCAATTAGATCACCGAAGCACAAATTTTAAAAATTCAGAAAAAAAATAAATGCTAATGTTTCCTGAAATGTTAGTGTTCAGTATAGTCTTTGTAGGCATTTGCTGGACACTTATTCAAAGTACCATTTTTAGCATGAAGTGTACTCATGCTCCACCCACTGTAAAGCCACATCTCCCTTGTGCAACGCTCTTAAATCTGGTCCTGCAGTTTGCTGTGTGCAAGTAATCTCCCTGAACATGTTCACGGTGGTTTCATATGTTTCAGGATGGATTATTACATTTTGTCAATGAACCCTCTGCTCAGTTAATTGAGCATAACAATTTATCGCAATCTTAATTTTCTAAAAAAAAAAAAAAAAAAAAAGCATTGTGCTGGCAGCAAAACATGGTGCAGAGCAAGAAAAATAGGTGTGAAGTGTTAGCTATGGAGTCTGAAGCAATGATCACATGTAAGCTACCCAGTTCTCCAGGAACTAAAAGTAACTGGATTTTGAAAGAAAAAACAAAATAAAAATTAAAAACATTTATCTATGTGATTTGATGGGTGGTTTCAAACAGATACATGTTCTTATGGGAAATTTGTAAATCAGGTGATCTTTGTTTTCAGTCATTTCATGTAATTTTGGTTCAAATGTTCACAGCGATGATGTACAGTACACGAATTACAGAGTACCCAACAATCATTTTAAATCTGTGCATGTAAGAAGTTAGACAGCACTCATTCCTTTGAGGGACTTTAAAGTTACACTTGCGGATATATTCAATAATATTTGTTATTGTTTTAATTCGTGTGTCTCTGTGTGTGATGACTGCTTTGTGAGAAGGAACTGTCTTGTTGTGATGTTGTGTACATATCATTTTTTTCTCAGGTCTCTGTTGTAAAAGAGATCTTGATCTCAGTTAGACATCCTGAATAAATAAAGCTTAACTCATTTAGGATATTTGATTTCAAAAAATAATCAAAATGAAATGAGTTTTGCCATATAAATGGAACATCATGCAATAATCTTGTCACAATAGCTTACTTATTCCAGTCATAACCTAAAACCCAAAAAGCAGCATCATCCCCCTAACCACATCTACAAGCCAGAGGGGAAACCCCGTTCACCCAGATGTGGTTCGATCACTGGATAACATATCACCCCATAAGTGGGTGGGTGCGGAGAGACACAACAGGACTGCAGCAAAGAATGGAGGAGTTATTTTAAAAACAAAGCCATGCTAGTTTCCTCGTCAGGGCCCGGGGCAAGCGTTGTATTTGTGTGCACAGCCCCCCCTGTGTTTATCACTGGGAGCCTGGATGCACGCCAAACGTCAGGCTTTCATTACATGGTCGGACGTGTTTCGTTTGAAACAGAAACCCGACTTCGACACAAATACACCTCCACAGGTAAATAAAGACCTGGGGAAGGAGGAGGAGAGGAGAGGAGAGGAAACGGAAAAGGGAAGAGATGTGTAGTGGACAAGTGTTTCACACACAGACACACACAGACACACACAGACACACACACACTCATGTGACAGTTCAGTTCACACAAAAAAAAAAAAAAAAAAAAAAAAAAAAATGCACACACGGACAGACAGTTGCTCGCACAGTGAATTGAGAACAGAAGAGTGGCTGACCCAAGTCCAATATTTATTCAGGCATATGAGTCTGTAGTGTGCGTGTGTGTGTGTGTGTGTGTGCGTGTGTGTGTGTGTGTGTGTGTGCGTGTGCGTGTGTGTACTCGAGGGGATTTCCGTTTTAAGTGGGTCAAAGTGAGGTTAGCCTCATACTATTGTTTACACTCACGTTCTTACATCATCACTGTCAACTGTAATATGGACAGGGAAGGTGAGAGAGGGAAACAGAGGCTGGCAGGAGGGAGGGCGGAAAGACACAAGAGAAATGCAAAGAAAAGCTGAGATGCAAAAGAGACAGAAGGAGAAGAAATGAAGGAGGAGGAGAGGAAAGCAGAAGGAGAGAGAGAAACAACGGTGAAAAAAAGACTAGAGGCAGCAAGCGCACGAGAACATCAGAGGCAAATGAAGGAGTGCTGCGAGTGCATCCTTTCATTTGAGTTTTTTCCAGTCCATTGTCTCAAAATCCCATTTCCCAGCTAATTTAGAAGCTTCTAAAATACACTCCACTCCATACCTTAAGCCTTAGGCCACAGCTAATCCTGTCTTCACACGCACACACTCCCATACGTGCACACACAGAGACATGCTCATTCATCCTCCATGCTTTTCAAAAGACTTCATCTTGGCATAGTAGAAACGAATGAAGGATATTGAAGGCAAGTGTTTGAAGTACATCAGGGAATGCAGGAATCAAACTGTGAGTTAAATGCTATTAGACAGCTGTGTGGAGAGGCAGTGTAATATTAGATTTGATTGAATAGATGACTGCTGAATGTGGTGTAATATATAGAGCCGGAGAGGTTTTATGCAGACGTAAATCAATATTGTAGCACCACGTTAATCCCAGCCACTCTGGAACGGGAGTCAGTCGGTAAGTGTGAAATGTTCGAGAAGCAGAGACGTGTGGATGTTACACGCAGGCGATTGTTTGGAATATGAGACTTGCATGCACCCGCTTCCAAAAGTACTCAATCCGGCTTGAAATTGAATCTTTTGTATTGTGTCAGTGTGAAGTTAGACTCCCAGAGGAGAAATTTTCTTTTCCTCAAAGCGGAGGTCAAGGGTCAGCTTGTACTGCAGAGCAGCGCCTCCTAGAGCTGGCTGCCGTTTCAGTGCTGCAGGTTAAGGATGTCTAGGCCTCAAATATTATTTCAAGCCATCCCACACAAAAAATGTGACTCCTTTCTTTCTGTTTTTTTTTTTTTTTTGGCTCAGACTTAGTTTAAGAAGATTGCACTGGGCCTTTTTGGTCTAATGCACTCCGCACGTTCTAACTCTATATTCAAGCAGGGACTGAGGTGAAATGCTGCCTCGCTTTGCTTGTATAAGTTTGATTGCCTGTCTCAGAAAATCAGCAATGAAAATGGTATGACAGACAGCAAGCGCATTTGATGCCACCACTTGACACAACAGAAAGCAGCCAGAGCAAAATTCACAGCCATTACGCTAAGCTGGTTTTGGCTGACATCTGTCTCGATCTCCTTTTTTTTTTTTTTTTTTTTTAAACAGTGAGGAAAAGATGTGGATTACCTCAAACTGTACTTCAGCATTATTTATTTCAATTTTAACATGCTTGCTTTTTAATCCTGTTTTCCACTGCTATTGTTTGCTCTGGGCTATCCTGCTTTTATAAAATTTAGATGCAGATGTCAGTTTTTCTCATATTCACAATCCAGTAGGTGTCCTGCTTGATTCTGACTGGCTCTCAATTTATGAAGGCAAATGAACCAACTTCTACTCGCATTGTTTGTTCTTCTCCATCTACTTTTCCTCCCTTTTGTCTTGATTATATAAATATTTTGTTTTTTTTCCTCCAGCCTTCCCTCTCTCTCCTCAGTCTTAACTGCTCCCTCGGTCTTCATCACTGCACCTTCCTCGCTCTCATTTTCTTCCTCTCTGTCCCCATTAATCTCTGGCTTTCTCCACACCTCTCACATCCCTCCTACTCCCCATCTCTTTCACTTTATCCATCACTTTCCCTATCACTCTCTCCATCCACCTCTAGTTTTCCATCCCACCTCTCTTTCTCCATCC